ATCGAATGTGATGACTATATTTAGTATTAATTTTCATTAAAATCTTTGGTATATTGACTTCAATATCCATATGGTTTGAAAAATCTACTTTAAGATATGTCATACGAGGGCACTGGTCAATTAGAAAATAAATATCTTCTATTTGATTCATTTTCCTAAGATAAACTTTTGTAATTTGATTTTGACATGTTACCATAGGAAGAATTTTTCTCTCTTCATTAATCATATTTGTTAGATTTGATAATCGTAAAGAAGAAAGTTGTAATGAATCAAGATATGGTAATAAATTCAACATTCTAATCAATTCGGTCGAAAAAATTTCGTCGTTAATTTTCAAATGATACACTTCTCCTGCAGTTAAAATACGTCGCAAATAATACCATTCGTCAGCATAACAAATAATCGTGAGAACAATTTGCATAAATTTCGATGAATTAATCATATTATATTGTGAATCATATTCAAACCATCGTTTTCTAAAAAGAATAAGTTTTAAGTAGAAAAAAAACATTCCGTTAATATACTTATATGGATGAATTGAATATATGAAGATGTCTAAATGAATTTCAGTTTCGAATATCCATTGTCGTTCGATCCAAAATGATGAATTGAAACTATTTGATGTACTCATATGCCTTTTATTTCTATGACGATGTTCACGGAATTCACATGTGAAATAAAGTTTTTCTAATTGAGATAAATATTTCAAAATGAATTTTTTCCAACGATCAGCATTAAGATAATTCATATCTTCAGCTTGACTTTCAAGAGATAAAACCTTTAATTTTGAATGTATCTTTGTAATGAATATTTCAAATACATCGAATTTAAGATCAGTTTCATATATAGCAAGATATGTTAAATTTGGTAATATTATCGGCGACATAGATCCAACATTGAAAGTACTAGATCTTTTATGTGTAAAACTCAAATGTTCTATTTGAGTTGTATAAGAAAGTATTGAAAAAAGATTATTTAAAGTGATTGAATGATTCATAATAAGATATTTAATATTATTGATTTGTTTATGAATACACAATGGCATGGAGACAGACACTTCGGGTTCCATTGCAAAAAATCTAATATATTTCAATTTTGGTAAATCAAAAATGGATCGATAAATGTCGGTTAAATCTGCTGAAATATTGTCTATGTTGATAGTTAATGAAAACAGTCGAGGTAAATGAATTAATTTAGAAAGCAATGCTATTAATATATCTGGTTTAATTGAATGAAAAATAAGAGATTTAAGACGAATAAATGACGAATCGAAGTTGAATAATGAGATCATCTTCGTATGTTTTGATGATAAAAAATGAATGGAAAGTATTTGATTGTTATTAACACGAATCATTTGTTCAGATGTTGATCGACGAAATGTAATTTTAAATAACAGAGATGAAGAATTAATAAGTCTTTGAAAACGATAATTGAGATTAGAAAATGCTTGATGCATATGATAAGCACCAAGATAATCGAAGATTTCATTGAATAATTCATTAGGTAAATTTTCGATTGAACTTATCGAGTGAACAATGCTGCCTATTATAAAAAGAATAGAAATAAATTTCCATTTACTCTAAAAATATTTTACTTCTCTTTTCTAACGATTGATTATAATTTAATTTTTGTTTGTCTTTATTCATTTGTTTGATAGAAGATTCGATATGATTTAGAAATATGTAAAATACTTGCCGACTATTCCTTATTAATGAAACAAGAATAATTAGCAAATTTTTTATGATCTGATCTTGCTAGAGTTAGTTACCTTGAAGAAATTCTCAATGGTATTGTAACAATCATTGGCCATCATGCTTTATCTGTGTGACCGCTTGACCGGACATTGACCTTTTCTCTCATTGTTCTCTCATATGCAATCACTTCTTCATGAGTTGTATTTAATAAAGAAAGGTCACAGTTGGGAAGTATACAAATGCCGCTCAACACCAACATATTCCAAGGATAGATGTGGATGTGAACGAATACCATACATACATTCAATACCACATCCACACCCTCAAGATTAGGCAATACTCTATACCACGATATATGAGAAATACAGAATATTCTCTTTCTTTTGTACCTTTAGGAAGCTCTACCCCCTTTATAAAACATACGTTTTCGAAAAAAGTCGAAGTTGATTTTCCATTACAGGAAGATGTGCTGACGTCTCCTCTTTCCAAAACAGTCGGATTTCAGAGTACTTTCTCAAAAAACTCAGACATCATACTACCATAGTTTTTTAGGTATCTTCGTAATTTTTGTTGTTTTGTTTTGAAGGTCTCGATGAGAGGAAACTTTTTAACAACCAGTTTTTTGTACTCATTTTAAGACCTGTCTATGAAAATACTCATAAAAAATCAGTAATATATATTTTAAAAATTCTGTGTGATAAAGAGGTGCGCACTGGCATGGACTTTAATTTGAAACCGCTTCGAGCTCTATACTTCGTCCTGAGACGGAGTTATATCGATTTTTCTACAGGTCAAAAATCACCTATGAGTCAGCTACAAATCCGGTGTGGTACGACCTACTGAGCTGACATTTTTACCAGTAGCGTATCTCACCAAGACCACTCATCCCTGAGAATTTCAGATTAAATAGACCATCCTAAGTGAAAAATCGTTGGTAAGGGGAGGGGGAACCTTAAGAAAAACAAACCAAGACAGTAGACAATAGGAACAATAAAGTTATTACAACATGATCGATGGTTATTACATATATTTACTCATATAATACGTCAACAAATATTTCAGGAGTTTTAAAATTAAAACAGTATCCAAGCTCCACGTTCACGCATGCAATAAACACAAACTTTTTGCGATCTCCATAGATCATTGAAACTTAAGATACTTCGAAGTACTTCAAACTACTACTCAATATTTTAATTTACCTTTTGACTTGTTGTTTGCTTTCCTTCTTCAGCTCGACATCCACCCACTTAGTCTATGTGGTGTTTTTCATCTGCTTTAACTCACAACTTCTGGATATTAACATGCAACAAGATGTCGAAATTTGTCAATGATTAGACAACTCAAATATATTTAAAAAGGTAGAAGCACAAATTATTTAGTAATCCAGCAGTAATATTCTAGTAACTTGTATATCCGTTTTTCAATAGTATCAGAGTCAATTAATATATGCTTGTAGGATTAAAAATAATTTCAGTTGATAATTTAAGATGATGTTCATGCATTTTCGTTGCATTTATAGGAAAATTCCAAGTTATCTATTATGTTGTATTAGTCATCATAGAAAATAAAATACAAACTAATTTTCTTTTTTCCTTCTTTCTTCCATTATGCTTCTTCGTTAAGATGAATCATTCATTTCGTTTTCTTTCATGCTCTATATTTGAAATTACCGTGCAATGACACGTATAACTACATTTATTTGAAAAGTTTAAGCTCTTACAAATTTCTATATGGAACAAATAAAACGTTTATGAAGTTGCAACTTGCATAATTATGATAATTACAACACTGTAAGTCAACAAAATAAATTCTATATGTAGGTTGGGTGGGCGTGAGTAATTACATTGTTTTACATCCTCACGTACTTTGTCATCCTTATAAAAGACGGATTCATTTTTTCGGAGTGAATGTTGAAGAAAACTACAAATAACTGTAACCCTATTTTTGCTTATACGATAATTTCTTTGTTTAGTTCTGAAATAAGCATTATGAAATGTTACATTCGATGCACAATACTGAAACAAGTTGGAAATTCTTCTCACTGTAATTCGTCTTCACTTTCCAACTTGTGATGCAGATAGTGCATGACGAATTGCATTTGCTCTGTCTTCCTGTCGATCAAATGATTAATTTTATGACTTCGTGCATCATTAATTTTTCTCTCGCTGTGTATATTTATTTCAATTGATGTTCTGTATCTTAAAGGTAAGTGATAGATAAAATCATGACTCTGAAACATTTATTTTCAATCTATAATAAATTGTAATGTAGACAGTTCTATCCAAAAGAAGTCATGACTTATCATGATAGATAAAAATCTGTACAGAGAAAATATGGAAGAATGTCTAACGCTGACGCATTTTGCTACTAATGATTAATAGAGGAAGTTGGTAATTTCTCTACATCATACTAATTTTATGTACGGCCCCCGTTGTATGAATTGTTTAAAGAGAACAAAGTATTGACAACGTTCGAACATATTTCAAATATTTTACATCATCAACAAAATGCTTGCAAGTCGACCACGGTTTCAACGTAGACCAAACCCTCGCCTACGGATTCAACCACGACCGCATCATCGCCCTCCGATTGGTAATGGTCGATCAGTATCACTCATCGAGTACAAGTGGAAATCAATTTGGCCATGTCGCATTTCTACTGTCCTTGGTGGTTTGATTATATTTTTTGCTGTCGTTTTAATCGTTCTAGAAATCGCTTTGTTGGGTAAGTACATTACTGTAACAATGTGAACTGCCACGTTGACACTCATAATCTATCTTGAAAGAAAATTTTCAATGACCCGATTTGAGTATCTAATATTCATCACAAAACAACAGTTTAAGTGCTCGATTTTTTTGGACGGTGATGTTTAGTCATCGATACTATTTCTGTCTCGAATTGTTATCATTAACAAGTGTGGATAAGAAATATATATAGCACAAGAAAACATAAAAATGAGTGATTTGAATTAAATGAAGTTTTCTTATTGAATACTGAGACATTAATCGACCAGATGATAATACATATTTGATATAATCAGTATTCTTGAAGCATGAGTGTCGAACCATATGACAGTACCGAGTTAGATAAAGCAAATATATTTATATTCCAAATCGTGTTCTACTTTAGAGTCTAATTATTCTATACATGTTTAAGGCATTATCGGAAGTGTGGTAAATGGCGGCG